GTAGACATAACTATTACCTATTGTATATATATATATATATATATATTATTTATTTTTACATGCATATATTGTTCATGTTTTCTATTTGTCTGTGGGTATTGGTAAATGGATCCATGTAGAAGCGAGCTTCTTTAAAAATCAACGCACATGTTACCTTTGCGAGGTCATGCTGACTATCTTATGCGTTCATCTTCAAATAAGTTTTTGAGCCTAATAAAAATCCAGAGTGATCCTTTTAAAGGTTCAAGTCTTATTAAATAATATTTTTGGTCTGCTCTTCCTGTCTTATTCATCGTTGCCGTTCTAGTCTTACAGGTTGGCTTGTATTTAGAGTTATGTGTAAATTGAATATTGTCCTTCCCTCTTTTTTATTATTCTGATTTTTTTCATACTATGGGAGTAAAATCTATGTGCTATTTTTTTGTTTGTTTGCAATAGTTATACCTCTAGAAGATCCAAGGTAGTGAAATAATGGGTTCTTTATTCAAGATACGTGATTACTGGCATCATTCCTTTCCAGAAGAGGAATTCTCCCCCTCCTGCCTTGCTGTTGGTGACCTGAATAACCCCAATACTGGAAATAAAATCGCTATCGGGTCCTTTCAGGGTGTTTTTCGTATCTTTCAACCAACTAGCTCCCCTTCTTCCTCCCCCAACGGCATCTCACCCGAGGATTTGCTCTATGAGGAGCGCTTTGGGGAACCTATCCTCCAAATCGCATGTGGTCCTTTCAAGCCGCTCGCAACCAGTGATCATCCAAATCTATTCGCGATTCTTTTTCCAAAAAAAATACGTCTGTTCAGCGTCGAGCGTTGTGGCGAAGAAAAGGCAGAAAAGGACGCCAATGAAAATTCTAACAATACCCAACCATGGGAAGACAAATCACAAGAGGAGATCGTTCCCCCAGAAGACGTTTCCGCCGCCTATTACCGTTCTACCACTATCTTTACCGCGGAGTTTGATCAGCCGACCTACAATTTCACCACCGGCCGTTTTGACGGCGTGAAGTATGATCGGATTTGCGTGCAAACAATGAATGGGCAGTGGACTATTGTCGACTATGATAAAATACTCTGTAGTTGTAGTTTGCCGCCGAGTCAATTTCTCGTCCCGGGCTGTCTAACCTACTGCGAGCCGCGGGATTGTTTTTTGACGTGCAATACTTCCTATTTTTTGCTTTGTTATTCCTTTGCGAGCCTGACGAGCGCCGCGGATGTGGATTTCACCGCCAGGGGCGTCTCCTCCCGCGAGCGGCTTTCGCCGATGTGGGAAGTAAACCTCGGCGAGGAGGCGCTAGCGATTGAGGTGTGCCGATTGAGCAAGGAATTAACGGCTAATGATGCCGATATTGTGATTCTCTGTCCGTATGCTCTCCGAGTGCTTTCTTTACAGGGTGCGTGCCGCTATTTACGCCCGCTAAGTAGTGAGGCCGCCTGTTTATCGATCTATGCGCTGCCATCTGGCATGCATAATGTCCTTGTAGGGGCTTGGGATGGCTCGGTGAACGTCTTCTCCGATCTGGTGTTGAAGTGGAGCGCGTATTTAACCTTTGGAGGGGCCCCAATGGCGCTTAGGGTGGGCGCATTTTGCGGGGTTGAAGGGATGATTCTTTCTTTAACGGTGGAGGGGGTTTTAATGGTGGCCTACTTGGGAACCGACCCCGCCACGCGAAAACCACCACCGATGCTTGAAAGCAAGGTCATGAGTTATGCCGAGATGCAGAATGAACTTCGCCAGGTTCAGCGCAAAATTAAGTCGATTCAGGCGGGAAAAAAGCTACCCACGGAAGCTATGGAATCCACCATGGGGTCAAGCTCGTCTATTCAAGCGGCGTTGGCAAAGTCGAATTCGGATCTAAAGTCGTTCGACCGATTAGATAATGTATCGGCTAGGAATCAAAAGGAAAACAGCAGTGGTTCGCCCATAAATATTGACTTTGAAAGTCATTCCTTGAATTCAGACGAGCGTGGCGAGGTTTTTCTTCTTTCATTGTTGGTGGGCCTTTCCATGGGTGAAAAAGCGGGGAAGGTGCAGTTGTGGATGAAAACAACGCCGCCGATTATGGTGGAGCCAAACTATCTCACTGTGGTGAGTGTCGCTCAGGGCGCCACCACGCGGATTCCCCTTTCCATTTCCGTGGATAAAAAGGCGATCTCGGTAATCCCCTCTTCGCTTGAATTGCTCGTGGTGGCGGTTTTGGAAAATTGCCTGAGTTCTTCAGCGCGGATGACGCTGCCGTTGCCGCTCGTCTGCCGTGTCGTCCCTCACGTTCGCTGCGCGGAGGTGTCCATGCAAATCAACACCGACCGCACCCCGGCGCCTTCGTTGTTCGATTTATTTCAGGATCTTTCCCCGGATGAAAACATGCGGGAGAATCTCATGAGCGTGGAATTGACAAACGGTGCGAGGGTCACACTGCTTGTCTCCAAGAATGCCGCGCGCTTTAAACTTCAGGGAACCTCGTTGGATGAACTTTGGCTGCTCTCGTCGGAGTTGATGAGGCGTCTTCGGTTGTACTACGTTCAGAAGGATAGCGCGCCGCTGAACTTCAGCACCCTGGACGAGCTCCCGCTTGAGAAATTTCTCACTGCCGTGAACCTTCACACGGAGGTTCGAAATGACTTGTCGAATGCAATGAACAAGCTCAATCAGGCCGCGCAGTTCGTGCGGAATTTACAAAAAAGACTGCTTGCCAAATTTCGCGATCGGACACCGACGGAGTCGAATGCCCTAGCGCTGCTCTTGACTGAAAGTCATACTAACCTTCAGAAGACAACCGAAAAGGTATGCCTTACGAAACTTCATCTGAAGCGTGCCTCCGCGATGCTTAATAGCTTTTGTCAACTAATGTGGATGTGGTTGAGTTTGCTGAATCCGAATTCTTTTTCCGAAAAGAGCGAATTCTCGGAAACGCTTCAGGGTTTGCTGACATGTGAGGTTCGCGATGATGTTGAAGTAAGGTGGGAGGAAGAGACGGAAGCTGTTTTAACACATATCCTCGAGATTACCCGCACACAAGCGATTCAATCAGTGATAAAACCTGGAATCAACAACTCGAATTTAAGAAAATATCTTTCTTTGGCGTTTGACCGAGTTGCAAAGGGAACCTTAGAGCAAACGAATATGAAGAAGATCATCGAGAATGCGGTGAAGTGAATGGCACCTACGTGTGATTCTGGGCTATGACAATCGTTTAAGTGTTGTAAACCACATCAGTTAGATTTAGATTAACGTATCATCATCCCCAGTTTCCAGTGAATGCGGAGGGAATTGAATTGAAATAGTGGCATTACCTTCTTCGTTTTATTCCTTTATCCGCGACATAATATCAAGTGCTCAAAGCAACCAATCATTGCAGTGTTAATTACAATGACATAAAATACATATAGTTCCTCTTTTAGAATGTATTTTTTTGCTGCAATTAGGCCACATGAATGGTCCCTCCGGATGGGCGTTTTTTTATCACCGCGGAGAGATAGATTATGAAATTGCATGATGCAATGCATTTGAAACAAAATTTGAAATTTTCTCCTCACTTTTCGAAGATAATGATCTGAAAATTTCCAATATGCGAATGTGTTGGCTGCTTTCTGCCATTTCCCACCTCAGCATGAAGACGATATGGAGGCACTACCCGGCCCTTTTATCCTCACACGACACAAATCCTTTTGACGTAGTCCCCAATCCTCCTGAAGTTATCGTTTTTTTAAGAGAGACAAACCTCTCGATACCATTGAAAACGCACAAAGAAATAGCAAGCCTCGCCATTAGCCGGATGAGAATCAGGTTTCACCCAACAATAATACCAATATTAGTCTTTCTTCATGACTGCTGAAGGAGAGGGTGTGTGTAGACTTTTATTATTCAACGAAAAAGTAGAGTTGCGCAAGCGAATGAAAATAATAATAATAATAATAAATGAATACCTGTGAGGGAATCCAAAATACCCCTCCCCCCCTTTTTTTCCTTACAGCGGCTATCTTCCTCTTTCCCTCCCACCTTTCTCTTCCGTACCCCAGCACACCATCCAACCCGTTGGGCCCCACCTGTCACGGCGCCGTGGCCACCCCCAACCGCCTCTTTCCAGTGAACCCTGTCGGGATGGGGGAGCCGCACGACCCGCCGGGCCCCCTCCCGCGCTACATCCCCCTCACCCCGGCCCACGAGCGGAAGATCGACGCCCTGCTGGGGCGCCTCCGCCGCGAGCTCCCCGAGCCGCTCCCGCTGATGGTCCTCGCGGCGGCCCACAACCCGAGCGCGCCCGGGGCCCCCACCCCGGCCTGCTCCGACCGCGTCGTGGCCTACGCCCTGCTGCAGTCCCGCGGGTGGGACCCCGCCCGGGCCTTCACCCTCGCCCGCGCCATCCAGGCCTACCGCCGGCAGTGGGGGATCGACGAGGCGCTGGTCCTCCCCCCGGCCCTCGCCTGCCGGGGGTGGCCCGCGGAGGAGGTCAG